ATAAAGTATTAAGCCATGTATGTTTTGTAGCATGGGGATCTTTGGTCTGTATCCCTTTTGAACATTATCCGCATGTAGTTTGCATGTTCTCCCTATGCTTGCATGGGTTTCCTCCCACACTCCAAAGACATGCTGGTAGGTTATTTCGCCTCTTGCCTAAAATAGTCCTATTATGTTTGTGTGGACCCTTGAAGAATGTAAACTATGTGAGGGCTGGGCATCACATGAATGTAAATATGATGTAAAGTGCTGCATATATTAATGGTGATTAATATGTCATAAAAAAACAATGTTTCAAATACTATAAATGATAGTGTCGGCGTCCAGTAGTACACAGCGTGGACATGCGTGTTACATGTCCCCTCTGTGTGCAACTGCAGTGTCTTGGCAACTTTCTCTCACTCCCAAGTAAGTGTACAGGTGGCTGCTGTCACGGCACATTCACGCTATAGAGACAGCAAGTGGCTGGAGGTAGGAAAAGGCTTTTCATTATATTTGTAACTTTTATTTATAAAGAACAACATCCAACTGGGCTTAGGAGGAGAGGAGAGTGAGACCTGTCCTTCGAACCTACCAACACCTGCTAAGTCGGAGGAGGCAGAATGCATATACTCTTCTCTGTGCAGTTCCCAGCTAAATAAATATCTATCTAATATCTAGAGCTCTATCTCTGTATCTACAGTCCTCGATTTCTCTATGTATGTCTATCTATCTAAATATTTCATATCTATCTATACATTTATCGAGGTTCTTCATATATTGATGCAACCCGGCAATGATGTTTTCCGGAACATGAGTGATCCAAGGGTTATCCACTTCTGGGTAATGCTTCTGTTGCTGGAAGGTCTTTCTGCTGAGAACAAAATGCAGGCCAGGGATGACAAATACACTTATCTTTTGGCCTACAGGTTACCTCAAAGAAGAGATTTCCTACCTTTGCAGATGGAAATCACCACCACACCCACTGCCACACAATTGACCATGTTACTGCACTCGTTCTGAGCCATGTACCCATAAAGCCCTTCCCACCACACCTACGGATGGTTTCTCCACATCTAGTTGTATTGCAGACAGAAGAATATGCACTTAGCCATGCAGACTCCACCATCCAACGGGTAGTTGTAGATAATCTGTTATGGTTAAGTTCATGCCCACTATAGGAGTGCATTAGGTTCTCCGACAGCAAACAGACAATGGCACCAAAATAATAAATGAACAATACATGAAGACAAAGCACTCTAGGATTAAAAAATGAGCTAGAGGAATGAAGAAGGGTTACAGACGTTTATGCATCTAAACACACATAAACGGAAGCACTTAAGAAATTATACATACGCTTTTCTGTCAAAATCCTATGTAGATATCAGTATTTTACATGTGTGCATGAGACCCTTATATATAAGGGTTAATACAATTTGTATTATGTCCTTAAGATACGCAGAATTGTGTGTGCAAGAGCAAGGCACAATCGCATATACAAAATTTTACACATATCTGCAACTGTACTTTCAATTGTCCTGCATACAACATTAGTTTTCAAGACTGTATTATTTGATTGAATCTCAGTACCTCTGAGATCTTATAATATAGATGTACATTTTACCATTTGTATGCAATGCTGCAGAGTTTGGAACCAGTTGTTAATTGTTCAGAAACTTCATGGTGTTCTGAAAAGGAGATTCCCCTCACTACCCATCCGAGTAACAATGCTATAACTGGGACAGGTGAAGTGATAGGAAAGCTCCAACACGGACCTTGACATAAATAAGATCACTTTGGTAGAATAGAGGTAGGCTAGAACACCTAGTCAGCTTTGTATTACTTTTTCTTTGTCCCTCATTGAAGATTTCTCCTCACTTCCTATATTGGTAATATCTCCAGTGAGGACATGGGCAGCAATACATTTCTTATTCTGTAGGGACATTATCCTGCTCAACAGGTTTACATGAATGGGTGAAAAAAGCACAGGAACACTCATCTGTCATTATTACCATTAGAGCAACAATGATCCAGTATGCTGCTTGTGCTAAATACACTGCTTATGAAATATAATTGCAATAATGGTGATCTTGTAAGATCTTTTAAAAAATATTTAACACCAGTAATATATAATGGCAAAGACATCAGTAATGGGAGTTGTAAGGGGAGCAGTGAAGCCAGGATTAGATTCAGGATTTACTCAAATCCTAAGGATTGATTTCTGTAGGTTTTAGAATGCTGCAGATAATTATTTCTTCAGTCAGCTAAAACCTTTTTGGTTGAGATATCCAGTGGTGTGTGTGTATATATGTATACATTTGATATACAGTACATACACATACATACAGTACATGTACACATTGATAATTTCTAGTGTTTATCTGGCTTTGTAATGTTAAATAAGGGGTTTGGGGAGTTAATGTTTACCATAATTAACCCTGTCTGTCCTGGCAGATAACATCTGTAAATAAGATTTGAACACGGTCTGTCTTTACAAAGGGTTAAAGATTCAATGGCTTGGGTTCTACATTGTATGTTAAAGAGGTAAACTGTCCCCAGTTTGTCTCTTCAGTTTCACTTTGAATTTTTTTAGAGTAGTTTGCAGTTCTTCAAAATTCTCGCTCCAATTAAATAACTAGGAAGGAAAGAAACATTTTTGATAAAAAATATATTTAGATAAGCTGTGTGAATAGGAACACATAAACATATAGTGGGAGTTTTTTTAGATTTTACTGCAAAAGTAGATAACAATATAATAATTGCAAGAACTTGCGCTATTGGAGATTGGGGATACTAAAAAATGATAAAATATGAATAAAAGTTTGAATAGATAAAATAGATAAAAATTATGTGAAATTTAATTGTTCTAGAAGGGTAAGGGAAGCTGCTGAACTAAAGGCACTCAGCCCCTATTAGGATGTACTTTCTCAAAATGTACAGCGCTAGCCGTCCTTCAGAGGTGAATATAAGAAATCAGACGTTAAGATCAAGATTTGACAAGTGCTATTAAAAAATGTGTATAAATAAATCAAACATTCAGTGAAGGGGTGTATCTCAAAATACTCAATGTGAATGGTTGTGTAAACAAATAAAAGTCTCTAAAATCTTCAAATCAGACAATGTATGAATTTATCTAATAAAATGTGATAGGCTGTGAATATATGTATCATGTGTGGGTGATTCTTGTTAATAAATGGTGAATGAACAAACAATGTATAACGAATTAAATAAAATAAATTTAATTAAACTTTTATCGATATATATGTGAATAGTCCAAATCTTTTCTAGTTTTTTAAAAGTCTTTAGAAATCCATAAATGTAAGACACTTCGACAGTGCGAATTCAGTGCAATAATGTGTCCAACAAAAATCCAAAAAAATGTAGAAAAAGTGCAGAGAAGATCCCCTCAAGGGAATGCACTCACCAGATCCGAAGATGTTAAACACGTTTGTTTCATCAAGGTAAGTCTGGAGCTCCGTCTTTAATTCCCACGCTCGATCAGGCTTCAGGGAAGGAAAGGTCTCCCGTTTTACCCGTGATGTTTAAACGGAGTATCCTCGTATTTTCGGGGTCCCTCCGCTGGGATATCCAATCATATAATAATCGAGATAAAACATACGCTCATTTTTTAAACATATTTTAGCGCTCTTTTTAAACAAGCCGCCGGCTTTTTTAAACATTTTAGCGCTCTTTTTAAACTTGTATGCTGTATGATTATAATAAACCTGGGCTTTACCACGCTATGAGCGTATGTTTTATCTCGATTATTATATGATTGGATATCCCACCGGAGGGACCCCGAAAATACGAGGATACTCCGTTTAAACATCACGGGTAAAACGGGAGACCTTTCCTTCCCTGAAGCCTGATCGAGCATGGGAATTAAAGACAGAGCTCCAGACTTACCTTGATGAAACAAACGTGTTTAACATCTTCGGATCTGGTGAGTGCATTCCCTTGAGGGGATCTTCTCTGCACTTTTTCTACATTTTTTTCTTCGTTTTTTTTGATTTTTGTTGGACACATTATTGCACTGAGTTCGCACTGTCGAAGTGTCTTACATTTATGGATTTCTAAAGACTTTTAAAAAACTAGAAAAGATTTGGACTATTCACATATATATCGATAAAAGTTTAATTTATTTTATTTTATTCGTTATACATTGTTTGTTCATTCACCATTTATTAACAAGAATCACCCACACATGATACATATATTCACAGCCTATCACATTTTATTAGATAAATTCATACATTGTCTGATTTGAAGATTTTAGAGACTTTTATTTGTTTACACAACCATTCACATTGAGTATTTTGAGATACACCCCTTCACTAAATGTTTGATTTATTTATACACATTTTTTAATAGCACTTGTCAAATCTTGATCTTAACGTCTGATTTCTTATATTCACCTCTGAAGGACGGCTAGCGCTGTACATTTTGAGAAAATACAAAAGTAGACAACACTTTAGGACTAATTTTAGTATTATATGGTACATTGTAAAATATATTTAGAATAAAGCTAACCATGGTTTTTATGCTCCAATCTTTAGACAGTGATGGTAAACCTGAGCATAACAACATGGTCTTAACACAAGGAAATGCAGAACTAATTGAACTATAACTTTGAACTATTAAACTATTAATTTAAGTATACACGCACAATGGAGCTCACTCATAAAACCTAAACTAAAGTTTCCACTTGATGACATTGTGAACAAATAACAACTGAAATTATTGCACTTAGAATTTCAATTGCCCTATTACCAGTAAGAGCCCATAATGTAAATGTTTTCTGGTGTAGCCACCATGGTTTTTTAGGAAGTTGCATTTTAAACTGCTTTGTCTTTATATGGAAATAACAGTTTTCATTAGCCCTATGCAAAGCTCATCAGTGGCTATAAATATTTATTGATGCTTTTTGATCACACAGATATCAGCCCATGATTTATTTGTGGTTTACAAAAGTCCTTGGTATTCACCTGTGTCAAAACTGCACTGGCAAAATGATGATAGCGTTAGCTATCAGTCCCAATGAGTGTGCCTATAGAATGCTCTTGTTGTACAGGTTCAGGAGATGGGTCCTGCAAGATACCTTGTTGTTCAGTTGGTGAATGGGGTTCTCCAGCTTTAGAACCTGAAAAATTACATTTTTGTGGATCTTCTGAGCTTTGTAGGCATCTTGAGTTCTCAACATGACTGTGGCTTCCTAAGCGGCTTGACGCTACTATAGCTTTCATGGCTGCCTGAAGAGTATAAAATACCACAGAAATACAATCATTTTGATACTTTCAATAAAAATATTGTTGTACATTAGCTATTTTTAACAAAGCTGAGTGTTATGTGATTGTTTAATTAGTTCACATCATAATGTCTATAATGAGTATTAAGTATGAGTTGGGATGCACTGATACCAGTTTTTCGGTATCAAGTACGAGTAAGGTTTTTTTTTTTGGTACTTGCCGATACCACGTACCGGTGCTGTGTGCCCCGATTTATCAGGAAGTCAGGGGGTGGATTATGACCCATCGCCTGGCTTCCCGATTGCCTGGGATTGGTCAGGAAGCCAGGCTGTCTAGCAACAAACAAAGCTGGCTTCCTAGCCAATCAGGAAGCCGGGAGGCGAATCATGATTTACCACCCAACTTCCTGATTGGTTAGAAAGCCAGACTGCCTACCAACAAGTGAAGCTGGCTTCCTAGCCAATCGGGAAGCTGGGTGGTACGTCATGACTCGCCTCCCAGCTTCCCAATTGGTCAGGAAGCCAGGTTGTCTAGCAACAAGTGAAGCCAGCTTCCTAGTACTAGTACCTCGCCCAAATACTCGGTAGTGGCATTGATACTGATACTAGTATCGTATCGGTGCATCCCTAGTATAAGGCTTCACACTTATGCTATATTTAAGTTGATGAATTCACTGGGTGCTAATAAATCTTAACATGCACTGTATATGTAAAACTGGAGAATTTTATTATCAATCTTTATATGTGGCTGCATTACTTTACTTTGTTAGGCAGATTTTGCTACATGCACTACTTTTCCACGTTTGTCGTGTGAAGAACAAACGTGCAAATATCAAAATGCCTTGATCGGTAGATATTAGTCTGGAGGAGTTGGCATTCCTAGGCAAGCTGCATTTGCATGTAGACCACCCTAGGTAATACCCACAAACATCAAGAACCTAAATGATTTAAAGAGCTGAAATCCAATGTTTAAAAGGGGTGGGTGGGCCAGGGACAGTCAGGCTGAGGAGGCAAGGGCTAGATGGGGGTGGGGGGGCAGTGCAGGTAATTTTTTCAAGGGCAAAAAAGTCAATGCTCTGAAAACCTCTTTAACATACCCATGCATTTTCTATCCAATTACAGCTGTAACCATTTTGATCAATGTGCGGGGCCCATCTGGATGAACGTGAGTGTGAATAATGTTTGCGGACAACGTTGTCAAAGCTTTTTAATGAAAATATGGAAAGTTGCACAATGATGGTATATTGTATTGATATTGTTTGAATAAACTTTTATATACTTGTCCCATTCTTTCAAGTAACCTCTTTGGTTGGTAATCCTTGATGTTGCTAACAATACTGTTTTTAAAATTTTCTCAAGCGGCCACATGAGAAACTGGCATTGTTGTGGAGGGCCAGCACATTACTTTGAAGGTGTGCAGGCACACACGCACATAAACTGGTAATAAATGTGATGGGGACATCTAATGTAGGGAGCACTCCTATGGATGCAACTAATAATTAGTTATCCCCATCAGAGTGCCCCCTACTTTCGTAATAATGTAAGGGGGCATTCTGATGGGGACAACTAATTATTAGTTGCATCCATTGGCGTGCCCCTAATAGTTTAATAGTTGTCTACATCAGTGTCCCCTTAAGTTAATTGTCCCTATCAGAGTGCCCCTTTATTTTTGTAGTTAATGTAAGGGGGCACTCTAATGGGGACAACCAATGTAGGGGGGCACCCTGATGAGGACAACTAATTACCAGCTGTCTCTATTAGAGTTCCCCCTATACATTGTTATCCCTTTTAGAGTGCCCCTTTATATACTATCTCTACATACCTTATTTTCCTACTTTATTAGTAGGCCAGAGGCAGGAGGTGGAGCAGGCTGCAGGAGACAATGGAAGAAGATACTCTTCCGTCTTCCTGTAATGCTGGAGGTAGGGAACACTTATCTAAACCCAAGAACAATATTGCAGCTGACCATTCCTTAAATATGGTGGACCATTAGTTATAATTTTTCAGGCTAATATTGTTATTAACAAGTACAGAAAAAAAACTTGATCTTGCCAGAAATGCAGCATCTTTTTCACTTCCTGTGAGAGGACTGGAAGTCAAAGCAATGTTATCTTTCTTGTGTAAAGCACTAATCCCATCAATCCCCATGTAATAGACATCAGTGATGGGCTGAACACACTTGAGTTCGGTTCTAACTCGAACTTTCGAACATGAAAAAAGTTCTAACTCGAACTTAGAACTCAATGTAAAGGTGGCCATACACCTTACAACCATCGTACAACTTTTTTTGACATCTCACGTTCACCTCGTTCACTTTTCTTACAACTAGCCCATCATGCACAGACCAATGTAGTTCGCAATTAACGTTCGTCAGCACCACAACCTGGCTGATTTTCATTGATCGAAAGGACAGATTTTCGTTTGCGCATGTGCAGTTTTCATCTTGAGATTTTTGTTGTACAACAACGCCACTAGCCCGTTGATTTTCATCCAACTAGGCAAAAGTTTTCTAGGCTGCTTGAAAGACAGAAATCTACCAGTTGTACAGTAATTGAGGTTGTGCACTTCCCATCAACTGGCAGATTTTCTGACAAAAACGCAATCGCAGACTAAAATCTCCAGATAATTGTAAGCTGTATAGGCAGTTTAAGGCTATGGGACCAGAACTCAGAAAATCAAATATCCCCATTATATGCAAGTTATTGGCCATAAAAGGAGTATGGGGATTCGGGTACTGCCCTGGGGCACATGTATCAATGAAAAAAAACACTTTTAAAAATACTGTTTTTAAAGGAGCAGTGATTTTAACATTGCTTAAAGTGAAACAATAAAAATCAAAAATTCCTTTAAATATCGTGTCTGGGGGGTCCCCTTAACCCTTTCGCTGCCATCGACGTAAGGCATACGGCGGAACAAAAGTGTTCCCGGCTGGCCAGCTCAGTATGCCTTACGTCGGTGGCATTTACAGTTCTGCTATAAGCTCATGGTCGATTTAGCGACCATCAGCTTATAGCAAAACTGTTCAGCAGACTGTCCCCTTCAAAATAATAGCTGCTATCAGCGGTTTACAAGCCGCTGATGACCGCTATTAATGAAAATACCGGGCGCCCCCCCGCCGATCTACATCAGAGCCTGTTCATTCAAGAATTTATGAATGGGGACTAGCACTCACTACAGAGGCTCCTCCCCATTCAGAAACTAATGATAGGATATTTTTACTATCATTAGTTTGTGAATGAATGAGAAGCCTTGGTACTGAGTGCTTCCCATTCATTGAGTGCTGGGGCTGCAGAAAAAGAAATTGAGGACTCTATGTCCTCAATTTCTTTTTCCATTTCAAAAGGGAAATGTCAGGGGTCTGTTTAGACCCCAGATATTTAACCGCAGCCCCCCCAACAGTAAAAAATATATATAAATGTGTAAAAAAAAAATTAAATAAAAAAATAAAATGTGTACAAAAAAAAACTATTAAAAAAACAACCCCTCCCTCCCCCCACATAACATGTACATAATTGTTAGAACGCATCACAGTGCATGATTATTGTAATGATTTTTTTTTCTTTTAAAAAAAACATTAAATTAACTGGCAGCGCATGGCAAAGCTTTGTGGCGCATTGCCGTGCGTTGTGACACCTTGTGTTGCAATTAAATATAGGCCTGTATCATTTTATCACAACACCAACACAGCGTAAGAACAATTTTTAACATAAGTCGCTTTTTTACAGTTTTGCATACCTTCATTTTTTTTACATTTCACAAAAAGGCGCAATTACAAATTTGCAAATATTTGTTATTTATTAACTCAATACAGTTTTATCTTTCAGATTTAGTCAAATAAATTTTTTTGTGTACGGATACTAATTTTAGTGTTTTTTATCGGTTTAATATTAATTTGAGAAACATTTGCGCAATTATCGCACGGCCTACAAATTTAGTATCACCATCTTTTTATTCTACCGGGCCTGCGCTTTCAGAAAATATATTGTTTGCGGGTCTTTTACAAATGCTATCAACGCAGCAGTTGAAAATCAAATCAATGGGAAAATGGCTTGGCCAGCTGAATTGAAATTTTTTTTGGAGGGCTTGGCAGCGAAAGGGTTAAACTTTCTGTAGAATGGCACATCTGTACAATGTATAGAACCTGCTGCAGCAAAAATGACATTTATAAAGAAAGAAATGACATTTAAATTGCCAGTAATTGGTTTTCCTTTAATCTTGTAAACAACTGCTTGGGGAGGCAGCCTGTATGAAGAGGACACATTTTAAATTTTGCAGACGGTGGATGATCGTAACAGCAGGTGCTTTTAAAAAAAAAAAAAAAATTGGGCCTTTAGTGTTGGTGGTGCCTTCACACCGTAACCCTTCAGAGTTAAGTTGCCCATACACCTGCCGATTATCGTACGATAATGGCGGGAAATCCCGCGATCGTACGATAATCGGTAGGCGCACACTGCCCATTCATCATTGCAGTCATCGGAAGCACGCCCCTCAGGAGGGCGGGCTTGCGATGATCGCAAGTACGATCTGCCTGTCCAAGAAGGTTTAAATTACCTTACAACCATCGCAAGACGAAAGGTGTATGGGCACCTTTTATTCTTGACGAGTGCAGGATTAGACCCTGCTCTAAAAATGATATGCACCTGTCTCCTTGTTGTCTTTTCAGACATGATGTGGGGCTTATTATAACATTTTATTAGAGAATTCAGGATGGGAAATTGGTGCTTGGGTGCAATACTTTATTGAATGTGGTGCTTGGTGCACTCTAAACTGTTGTACAATGGTTTATTATTAAAAAAATGTAACAAAACCCATAAAAATTTAAAAAGAAAAAAAAATGGGAACACCTGCGACAGGGAAGATGGAACAGCAATGAGGCAGCAAAAGAGAATCTGCTGCTGGAAAAAAATAAAAGAAAATTAAAAAGAAAAAAAAAAACGGGCACACCGATGACGCAGGAGAAACACTATTGACGCTACTGACACACAAAAAAAAGACAGCGAATACACAGCACAGAAAATACTATATACAGTACAGAGTACTGTATATAGCATTAAATGCTATATTAAAGCACTGACACTTCACTACACTGTCACCAGTTAGCTTGCACTGCACTACACTACACTGACAAAAACACTCTTATCTTTAACTCCAGCAACATACTACATAAGGCTGCCTTGTAAGCAGCCTTATATAGTGTGGAGCTGTGAGCCATGATTGGGCAAAGTCATCATTGCTTTGCCCAATGATGGCTCTTACAGAGCCCTGCACCGTGATTGGGCAAAGTCTTGCACCTGTGGTCAGGTGCATTGATGTACCCAATCAGGGCTCTCCAATGCATTGTGCGGCGGGCGAACACACGAACTGTTGTTTGACTCGAACATCGAGCCCATCCCTAATAGACATGCAGTGAAAGCTTGAGTGTAGCCCACCCAGGGACAAGAAGTATGTTATTTGTAAGATTGCCAGGTAAAAAATAAAGGTAAAACATCAAAGAACAAAAATAATGTACCCACCACAGCTAAGGATTGGTAAGCGGCAATGTATAACATTTTGGGGTTTGGATACAATTTTTAAAGATGCTGTTTAAACATATCTTTAAGCAGTTGGTGTGTTTACTGAGTGGTGCACATCTTACCTTAAGCTTGCGCTTTGCATTAAATTCCTGAAGTTTCTTTTGTGTTTGATCCATATGAGAAAACTTAGCAGCTCTTCCGGTTACCCAGGGATGCTGCAAAGCCTGAGAAACTGTTAGTCTTTTCTGTGGATCCAGCACAATCAGCTTCTTCACCTGCAATTAAAATGTGTTTGTAAAGCTTAAAGAATATGAGCAATATATACTCTGCTAAGCCTACTTGCAAATTTGCTTTTACATTGGTATTTTTGCTTTGGTGTCTTACATAGTTACATAGTATTTGGGGTTGAATAAAGACATACGTCCATCAAGTCCAATCCATATAGGTCCACGCATCATCTCATTCTTAGGGATACTGTTATCCCTGGATATTACGGTCCCTCAAGAAATTGTCCAAAAGTTTCTTGAACAAATCTACACTCTTGGCTGAAATCACTGCCGGTGGCAGTGAGTTCCAGACCTTAACCGCTCTTACTGTAAAGAACCCTCTTCGCCCATTGTGCTGGAATTTTTTCTCCACCAACTTTAGGCGGTGGCCTCTAGTCTTTGTAATGGAGTTAATCTCAAACAGTTTGTTGCCAATGTTGCTGTCACCATTGAACATCTTGTACATGAAAATCATATCCCCCCTTAATCTCCTTAATTCCAGCGTAAACATGTTTAAGTTCAGAAGCCTTGTCTCATAGCTCTGGTCCTCCATTCCCCTAATTAGTTTGGTTGCCCTCCGCTGGACTCTCTCCAGTTCAAGGACATCCCTTCTCAGTACAGCCGACCAAAACTGGACCGCGCACTACAGATGGGGCCGAACCAACGATCTATATTAGAGGCACAATTATAGACTTGTCCCTGCAATACATCCCCTTCTTAATACAGGCCAAGACCCTGCTAGCTTTGTTTACCGCAGCCTGGCACTGCAAGCTACCATTCAGTTTGTGGTCTACAATGACCCCCAAATCTTTTTCTATTTCTGACTTCCCTAGCGGCATACCCATGATTGTATAGCCTATTTGTTTATTTTTATGTCCAAAGTACATTACTTTGCATTTATCGACATTAAACCTCATCTGCCATAGTATTGCCCACTCCCCTATTTTATCCAGGTCCTCCTGCAATGTTATATTGTCACGATCCGTTTCTAGTACCCTCCCTATTTTTGTATCGTCTGCAAACACGGAAACATGGCTATTTATTCCCTCCCCGATATCATTAATGAATAGGTTGAACAGTATCGGACCCAGCACAGATCCTTGAGGCACACCGCTCATTACACTAGCCCAGTCCGAAAAGGTGCCATTTACAGATACTCTCTGGACACGTTCCCGTAGCCAGTTCTCTATCCACGTACACACCACCTCATCTATGCCCATAGCCCTCAGCTTGTGAAGTAAGCGCTTGTGTGGTACCGTATCAAATGCCTTTGAGAAATCCAGGTATACCACATCTACCGGCTTCCCTCCATCCATATCTCTGCTTACCCCCTCATAAAAAGTTAGCAAGTAAATCAGGCAGGAACGGTCTTTCCTGAACCCATGCTGATTGTCATTAACTATGCCCTTATCCTTAACAAATTTTACCAAATAGTCCTTAATTATACCTTCTAACAGTTTACAAACTACCGATGTTAGACTGACCGGCCTATAGTTCCCTGGTTGGCATCTAGCCCCCTTTTTGAATATTGGAACTACCGTAGCCCTCCGCCAATCACATGGTACCCTACCAGTCACTAAGGATTCCTTAAAAATTAGGAATAATGGTCTTGTTATAACCTGGCATAGTTCCCTAAGTACCTTGGGGTGAAGGTTATCTGGTCCCACTGCTTTATTTGCATTGAGCATTTCAAGTCTTTGTTCTATCCCGCTTTCCGTCAACCATTGCGGTATATTATCGGTTGAACTATGTTTTATCGCGTACGTCGAACCCATTTCCCTCCTGAGTGTATACTGAGGAGAAAAAATTGTTCAGCGCCTCGGCCCTCTCCTTGTCACTTGTGAGTAACTTCCCGTTTTTGTCCTTTATTGGGCCTATGTAGTTTTACAGTTTTATTTAGCCATATAGGTTTAGTCTTTGATCTTTTGTTTTTGTTACCCAATGGTATACACTTTGAAATAGCAATATGTAATGTGTTCCCGAAACAGTCCCACATTTGGTCTGAGTTTAGGTTGTGAAATGAGGTTTCCCATTTTATTTCCCCCACTAGTTTGCGCAACTTATCGAAGTTGGCCCTTCTGAAATTAAGGGTTCTTGTCCGTCCCACCCTCTTTCCTTTCCTGTATTTAATATTGAAAGTAATCACATTGTGATCACTATTACCCAGTGTCTCACCAATTACAATATCTTCAATTAATTCCCCATTATTAGTAATTATTAAATCTAGGATGGCATTTTTCCTAGTTGGAACCTTCACCATCTGTTCCAAGAAATTGTCTCGCAACAAGTTTAGAAATCGGCCCGCCTTTGTCGATCCTGAGGTACCATTAGCCCAATTGAAGTCGCCCATCACGACTACATTTCCCTCCCAGCTATTTCTATTTTAGAGTGTAGATTTGCTTCCCCCTCCTCCCCTATATTCGGAGGTTTATAGCAAATACCCACAATAAGTTTACGGCTAGGGTCTGCCATATCTAGCTCTAGCCATAAGGTCTCCACATCTTCTCCACTGTTTGACGTGATATCGTCCCTTATATGTATAATTAGATAGTTTTTAACGTAAATGCAACCCCCCCCCTTCTCCCCATCTGTCCCTCCTGAACAGGTAATACCCCTCTATATTAGTAGCCCAATCATGTGTGCCGTCTATCCAGGTTTCCGATATACCCACTATATCGAAGTCCTCTTCGAGTATCATAATTTCAAGCTCTTCTAATTTATTTGCTAGACTTCTAGCGTTGGTGTACATACATTTAATTCCTGTCTTGTTATGGGACAAAAGTTTATATCCTACTTGTTCCCCACTAGTTTTATTGTTTGGCCTTGACGTAGGTTGTTCGTTTCTGATTTTATTCACTTCTGACAACGTATTTGCTACATTGACTGTTTCTACTATTTTAACCTCGGTGATTACTTTAACTGTGTTGAGTGGAGTGAGCCCACTATCTATTCCTCTATTACTTCTTTCTGTATTATTATTCTTTTTATCTAAGATTAATTTATCTCCATTCGATTTAAGTAATTTTATTTTTAAGCCCACCACCCCATTTCCTAGTTTAAAAGCTCCTCCAGTCTTTCTACCATTTTCCCCCCAGAAATGCTGCACCTCCCCCATTAAGGTGCAGCCCGTCTCGGCTGTAGAGCCGGTAGCCGACTGCGAAGTCAGCCCAGTTCTCCAGGAAATAAAATCCCTCCTTCTGACACCAGCTCCGGAGCCACTTGTTAAGCTCCCTCAACTCGCGCTGTCTGTCCGGATTGGGTCTTGGCACTGCGCGTA